CTATGGTGCTGGAGAAGAGTATTGAATGTACCATGGACTACCAAGAAAACAAACAGATTCATCCTAGAGAGGTTTAAACCAGGCTATGCCTTGGAGGCAAGGATTCTGGGGCTTTGTCTGACATACTTTGGACATGTTGTAAGGAGGGACAGGTCCTTGGAGAGGGACATAATGCTTGGGAGGGTGGAGGGATGGCACAAGAGGGGAAGACCCTCTATGAGGTGATTGATTCAGTGACTGGGGTAATCAGGATGGTTGTGTCAGAGGCAGTGCGATTGGCACAGGATAGAGCAGGGTTTAGGGCTGTTTTACATAGGGTCGCTATGAGTTGCATGTGACTTGTCGGCACATAACAACAATTTAAATGCCTTGAATTTTTTTGTTTACCCAGTATTAAGTATTCCCTTCACAACTACATTTTATTTCACTTACGTTAATAATGCCTTTTTTTAAGGTGGACAGTAGGTGAGGAGCTTTATTTTTATGTTGTCTTTGGGGGTTTATCTACTTGCAGTGTCCTGAAGTACGTTTGAATATCATCTCCAATCTGGATTGTGTCAATGAAGTGATTGGAATCCGGCAGCTCTCTCAGTCCCTCCTTCCTGCCATAGTGGAGCTGGCAGAGGATGCCAAGTGGAGGGTTCGTCTGGCGATCATTGAGTATATGCCACTGCTGGCTGGCCAGCTGGTGAGTGTGCGTGCCTTGTGGCTCATTCAGGAATTACAGCGCCACATGTAGAGCAGTTTGCACGTGCACAGAATAGGCACTTGAATTATGTGGCGTTTGCATTGTCAGTGTAGCTAATTCCTTACCATTCAACCACCAGAGCTCCTTGTAATAGAATAATGGTCTGTATATAGACTATATCAGATTGTTTGTGTTCAGTTTTTTTATAACTTGGTGACCAAGGGATTTTTTTTTTCCTTATAAAATTTTATTTTAATTTTGATTTTTTCTTAAATGGAGGACAAAATGGAATTTGAATTTGTTTTTGCTCAATTTAATTTTTAATTAAAATGTAATTTAAGATTTAATTTTTGTTCAAGACACCACCTCCACTTGCATGTTATCTGAGCAAAATGTCCTTTGGTAACATCTTTTCTACATTATGTTTCAAAGAAATTGTGACATTACCATATAGAAAAGAAATACATGGGTTTTAAATGGCCAGTGTGATCATAGTTTACATAATCACAGTACCACTCAACGTGTTGGTGGTCTCCAGGTTAGTTCTGTTCTAGTTGATACCATGAAGGTTAAAATGTCAAGACTGGGTTTGTTTGGGTTTTGTGTTTTGTTTTTATTATTTTTTTTGTGCGTGTACTGTCAAATCAGATCTGACTGGTACAGGAGGAAATTGTCCCTCCTTCTCCAGCAGAGCATCTGATGGATTTGAACCGTGTTATCTCTGAGATTGCAGTGCAGCTTCTTGCCACTAGGCCACCAGACCTCCCCTGTTTGTTTTTTAAGACTGATTTTTATAGCCATACCCTTTTGTTTCTTTTTTAGTAGATAACCTAGCCACTTCAATTTAGAAATTTATGACATACTCCCACCCTTTTGATAGCACTTAATTACTATGTGTTGACTTTAAAAATCTAATAGAAGAAACAAATCAGTTGATCTCTTAGGCAAGGATCATGTTTGTTGGACTGTTTTATTTCCATAACCTGCTGTAGTGCTTGTGGCTTAGTGGTAAGGCCCCGTGGAATAGCTGTTAGCCCAAAGGCAGCTAGCTGTATCAGCTGTGCTAAAGGAGAAAGATGGACAGTCTCCTCATGTTGAATATATGAATACTTGAATGTTTTTTGATAAATCTCATACTGCTGTATTACTGTAAAACCATCTTGTCTTACTGCGGCTTTTTTAAATAAAAGTTTCTTTAATTGTGATTTTAACTAATGTTTACAGAAAAGTTAGATTTTCATTCATTCACTGTTGCACAATTTTACCCCCTCTCTCCCCTCCCTCAGTTAACTTTTTTAAAAAAAATATTCATTCATGTATCATTACCATCCTCCCCCCTCCTCCCAGTCCTCTATGCATTCATGTACCTCTTATTCTAGGCTCTTGTATGTATAATGCCTAATTATACATTCCTTTTAAACAGTTTTTTTCTTTCATCTGTTCCAATGCAGTGGTCATTGTCTCTCCACTCTTAACTCTATTCTCTCAACCCCACATGTCAATCCTTTATAACAGTGGTGCTATGCAGTATTTGTCTTTTTGTGACTGAGATATTTCACTGAGCATGATGTCTTCCAGTTTCTCTCCCATGTTGTGTAATGTGTTACAAGTTCATTGTCTTTCAGTGTTGCATAATATTCCATTGTATGAATATACCATAGTTTATCCATTTGTTTATTGTTGGGGACTTGGGTTGCTTCCATCTTGTTGCTATTGTAAATAATGCAGCAGTAAACACGGGTGTGCATATATCTGTTTGCATACTGGTTCTGGTTTCTTTAAGGTATACTCCCAGCAGTGGGATTGCTGGGTCAAATGTTGTATGACTATTTTTAACTTTTTGAGAAAGCACCAAACTGCTTTCCATAATGGTTGCACCATTTTACACTCCCACCAGCAGTGAATAAGAGCTCTAATCTCTCCATAACCTTGCCAACATTTACTGTTTGCTGCTCTTTGAAATTTGCTATTGTTACTGGGGTAAGAGGATATAGTTGTTTTGATTTGCATCTGAGAGGTAAAAATACCCCTCATTTCTCCATGTGTTTGTTGGCCACCTGAATTTCTTCCTTGGTGCCATGCATACTGTGCCCATTTTCCAATTGGGTCGTTTACTTTTTTCTTGCTAAGGTACTAGAGTTCTATGAATTTTAAATAGGAGTCCCTTATCAGATGCGTCATTACCAAATATTTTTTCCCAGTCTGAGGCTTTCCTTTTCACCCCGTTGGAGAAGTTTTTTGATGAGCATAGTGATTTGATTGTTTGAAGGTGCAATTCATCTGTTTTGTTCTCTCCTGGTTGTAGGTTTTTCATTATTCTTGAAGACTGTTCATACTGTGGATTGAGGCTTCTAGAGTTCTTCCAAGCTTTTCTCTATTAGTCTTTGGCTTTACTCTTAGGTTCTTGATCCACCTTGAGATGGTTTTTGTATACGGTGTTAGGTATTGATCTTGCTTGAATTTTCTATGTTTTTCCAATTTGCTAACACCGTTTGTTAAAAAGGCTGTCATTTCCCCACTTACCTGATATCATCTTCTTGTCAGAAATCAGGTACGCATAGGTAGTTGAGCTGATTTCTGGGTTCTCAGTTGTATTCCGTTGATCTATGTGTCTGTCATTGTACCAGTACCATGCTGTCTTGACCACCACAGCTATGTAATAGTATTTGAAATCAAGGAGTGAGATGCCTCCTATATTGTTTCTCTTTTTCGGAAGTGCTTTGCTTATTCGGAATCGCTTCCCATTCCAAATAAAATTAGAAATTGCCTTTCCATCTCATTGAAGAATGGCATTGGTATCTGTATTGGGTAAATCACTATTCTTAAACCAGACTTTGAAAGTACATGACTTTATTTAAAATATATAACTGTTGAGGAACATCTTGAACATCTTAAGGTCCAAAGAGGTACAGACCATAACCTTACAGACCTATGACAGGAAACACTAGGAAAGCTGACTGCACAGGGCAGCGGCACCAGATGACAGAACTGTGTACATCAGCCCCAGGATCTTTTGCTGAGATGACCACAGGGTGAAAGGAAGAGGAGAAATGGATGAAGTTCCTTCTTGTGTGGTTACCCTGGAGCCACCTTGCCTCTACTTTCACATCTGCTTTAGTCTCCCTGTTCTGCTTTTCCTCTTCATCTCAGATAAACTCTGATCAGCAATATCTTTCTTGATGTCAGTTTTTTTATCCATAATGATCCTAATAAAAATAGATTGAGAAATTTATTATTACTATTGATAGATCATTTCTTGGGTGTTTAATTTTTCACAAATAATCTAGAGATTGCTTGCTTGGCAGTCTGTCTGTGCTGCAGTCTTCCTCATCTACAGTATTGTTTCTGGCTTCTAGCCACTTGTTTTCACCACATATCAAGACCCAAACTCTCGCACTTGTACTTTACTTTCTTTATTATTTCTATCCAGTAATATATATATGTATATATGTATGTGTATATATAGTTACATTTTGTAAATCCCATTTTTCTTTATTTGGAAACAAAGATGCCTTAGCTTTCGTGTCACCTTGGTATGATAGAAATGGATTTTATAACCTTGGAGATGTATATTAATGGGATATTCTGTATCCATAGGGTGTGGAATTCTTTGATGAAAAGCTGAATTCTTTATGTATGGCCTGGCTTGTGGACCATGGTAAGTAGATTGGTTAAAAAATAAATTGCTAAGGAAAGCTTGTACTTTTTCTTCTGTCTAAGCAAGTCCTGCTCTGACAGAAATCCCACAAGTCGATGGCTGGCTGTACAGGCAGTTGATTCTTTTAAAATGGAGTAGACTGGAAGTCCATAGTGTGGCAGGGCATTGCCTCTGTGTGTCTTCCAGTTCTGGGAGTTTCCCAGTACAAAAGCCTGGGTCACTCCATCATCAGCTCATTCTGCTCCTTTCTCTTTTTCAAGACCTAAAACAGTGTAGGCTCCACTCCTGCTGTGATGAGATTAAGGATATAGCATCTGTTTGGCTTATCAGAACATGACAGAATCATCACATAACTTCCATCACATACACTTAATTTAGGATATAGTTCCATCTATTATAGCATATATACAGGTTTTTATACCCTCCCTTTTCAGAAAGAAATCCTAGTTCTAGATGTTTTATATCTTAATACTGCAAGTATGGAGACAGCATTGATTAAAGCTAACTTGTTTTGGACACCAATTTAACATTTCTATTTTCTGCAAGTCTTTTCCTATTTTCTTTTATATCCTCCATTAAGCAGTTTCATTACCCTGTTTCTTACTCATTCCATTCTATATTTTCAAACTATGTCTTTCTTGCACTCACATCTTTCTTATCTCAATGTTTTCTGATTATTCATCATTAAAAAAAACATTATCTTTTATTTCCAGAAAATATGTAGGCTAGGAAAGCACCATAATAAATAATAAGATCAGTTCCCTCTGGATTCATTTTTCTTCTGGGGGTGGTGCAGTGGCTATTTGGGCCAGTGTTTTCTCATTTGGAAGGCCAGAGAAAGGTCTGTGTTGCCATGGCAACCTGAGGTTTATCAGCACTTAAGATGTGGGACTCTCTGATTGGCCAGAGTGGGGAGGGCTGCTCGTCTGAAGTAGAGGCTATCATTCTTAGCTTGTTCATGCTTTTACTTAGCTGAGTCTAAATAATGGTTTTAGTGGATTGTATTTCAAATGTAGCAATTGTGGAGGCTGATTAACTGTGCTTCCCTTCCACCAGTGGTCACAAGCTCCTCCTATTATGACCAAGTTAGAGCCCCCTAGAGTATACATTGTAAATCCTAACTTGTATGTGTGATGATTGTGGTTATAATTATACTTGGGAATGGGCTGTTATGTTAATGAGGGTATTGTTGTTGTTATGTACCCTTGAGTCAGAACCAGCTCGTTATGGACCCTCCAGTAAGCTTTCAGAGTCAGTAAATCCATGGAAGGAGTTCTCCCAGCTTTGTCTTGCGAAGCAGCTGGTGGATTAGAGCCTTTGAGTTGGCTGTGCAGCTCCTTAGCACTAGGCCACTTTCTAATTCTATGGATTTGCCTTTCTTGGACATTTCATATAAGTTGTATCATATTGTGGATTGTATCATGTGAATTTGTTTGCATCATAGTTGTATCATATGTGAAATTTTTTGTCTGACTCTTTTCGCTTAACATAATTTCATTTAATGTAATGTATTTGAAGCCCTTTCAAGTTAGAACATCTATCATCAGTACCAAAAAAAATTTAGTGGATTTTCAGAAGCAGTAAATCGCACAGGAGGAGATTGCCTCTTTTTCTTCCTTCAGCAGCTACTTAGCTTTGGGCTGCATTGCCACTCCTTTATCACAAAACTTTCAGAGCTCCCTATTAGAGGATGTATGTATTTTTTGAGATAGAAAAGAAGCAAGGGAGCTGAGCAGAGGTGGGACAGAGAAATGGCAAGCCACATGAAGATCACCCAGAAGTAGCAGCTCAGAAGATAAAAGGATCTTCTTCCAGAGTTGACATATTAAATTCAGACTTTAGCCTCTTAAACTCTTAAGAAAATAAATGACTTGTTTGATAAAAGCACCCACTTAGGTATTGTTGTAGCAGCACTAGTTACCTGAGATTCCTCCCCTCCCTTCACTCACCTTCCCAGCCCACAGGAGCTCCTTGCTTCTGCCCTTAGCCTCTTCTTCTCAACTCTAGTGCCCTCGTCATCAGAGCTCCCACTCCCTTGACTCCTTGATTCACTGAGCCTGCCTTGGCCTTGGGGAACTTAGGCAGGTTTTTGAGTGATGTGGTAAAAGGCAATTTGTCATGGTCCAACTTCTGCCATCTCCCCCACCCCTGACGCTCCTTTATTTGAGTGCATCTTGTAGTAATAGTTAAAGCAACCACAGAATAAAGACATGGGAGAACCTGAGACAGGAGGCAGCATGTCCAAACTGGGAGGTAGCACCAATGTGAGTAATGTCTCCAACAGGTCTAAACTAGGGTAAACAAGAATTAGAATCAGAATATAGGCATAAGTGGAAGGAAATGGCTGCTTGGCACTTCTGGGGTAACCTAGAAATGCCTTTGAACTGTGATGTTGAAGATGAGTGCTAAATACCCCCTGGACTGTCAGAAGAACAGGTACATTTTGGAGAAGGTGCAGCCAGAGTGCTCCTTAGAGGCAAAGATGGTGAAGCTTCATCTCATACTCCTTGGGCATGTTGCCAGGAGAGATTATTCTGTGACATCATGCTTAGAATGATGGAGAGAGTGGCAGAGGAGAGGAAGACCCTCAACCAGGTGAGTTGACACTGTGACTGTGGCAATGAGTTTGAGTGTGTCAGAGATTGTGAGAATGGCACAGGATAGGACAGGGTTCAGATTCAATGTTTTTAAGATGGCTCTGAATCATACTCGATGGCATCTAACAACAACACAAAGAGAATGAGGTATATAGTAGGGCCCACTAAAAGAATCATAGAAATGGGAGACATCAGGTGCAAGCAAGGATAAGTAGGGGCTGGGATTTTCATTTTGGTGAAAGGAATGTTGCTGCTTGTGTCCTCGCTGGTGCCATGGAGTCCAATGCAAGGGCAGGTAGGCTCGTGGGACTTGACAAGATAGGTGAGAGAAATTCAGTGGTTTCAAGCTGCCTAGTAGAGACAGTTTGCTTTTTTCTTCTCTTAATGTTTTTATGGTCTAACTTTTTTTCTTTGTTTGGCAAATCATAGAAAAGAAATTCTTCTCTTTTTAAAAAATTACTCATTTTAAAGAGAGGAGTGAACTGGGGGGAGGGGTGGGCAGGGAGAAAAGTGCAACAGCGAATGAATGGAAATCCAAAATCTCTGTAAATGTTAATTAAAATTAATAAAATTTTTGTAAAAAATGTATTCAAATTGTTTATAACAAATATTTAATACTGAGAGTGGCACCTCCTAGCAGAGTATTGCATACTTTCTTTGCAAAGTGGCATTCTATTTTAAGAAAATATTTTATTTGGATGAACTTGTAAAGTCCTAAAGTTTCTTCGGAGAATAAAATTGCTGACACTCTGTCAGATGCTCTCCCATGTTTATTCATATGTTTATTCTTGTTTTTCTACCTTTGGGGTAGGAGAGACCTTTGTTTCTCTAATGCAGCACATCTAGAACAGTGCACCATTAACTGCTGTCTCAGAAATGGTTTTATGCTAGTTAACCAAACTTTAGCATTGTAACTCTGAGTTTTATACACTGATAATTTTTCTTTTTTGTACCTTTTCCCCTCCCAGATTTTTAAGCTAGTAATCATGTGAAAAATAAGAGGGGAAAAATATATCACTCAGCTATATTCTGACAATTGAGTGTATAATAGTGGACAGAGTGAATAATTTAGAAGGGGATTCATTTTATTTAGGAGAAAGGGAGAAAAGTCCCTATTGTAGTAGGCACATGCAGAGTGAGCTGGGCATTCTGAAAACCCTTGCAGGTCAGACGGACTTTGGAGAAAGGGAGGAAAAGACAGAACAAGGAGAGAAACTAGGTAGAACTGTGCAACAGTTTGCATTCTCTTGACACCCAGTTGAAAGACACCAGGAATATAGTAGGCATCAGGCCAAAGTCCCGTTACAGTCTCAGCCAAGGCTGAAGGTGGGTGTGCACTGTCTCTTCTTACCCTGACAGGGATCTCATCCTGTGGGGATGGCATCATGATGAAAGAAATCTCAAGAAAATGAAAAGCAATAATTATAAGAGACACAGATGGTCTAGATAGTTTCACCTTAGGGAAGAGTCTGTAAGGGGCTTGTGCCAAAGACAGAAACTACAGAAGATTCAGATGGTTTCTTGTTGGGGCTGCCTTGTCTGTTCTCTTCATCAGCATTGCTCAGAGCCTCTGTGGACTGGAAAGAGTTGTCAGTGCCCCGGCTCCAGGGCCTGTGCAGCTTGTGTGGGATGGATGCAGCCTGGCCCGGCTTTGTTGGATGGCTTCTCCTTTTTTTAATCCAGGAGGAGAAGAATAGGGAGCTAGTGTCCACCAGACTACATGTCCTGTCTATACCCAGATCTTGGATTTTATTGGACTTGTGATATCAAGTTTGTCTTTATCGAATGTTGTATACAGCAGCTAATTGTAGAGAAGAGAGGCCCAGACCTTTACTATCTAGATTTATGGTATGTTTCATAAATGTTTTTGTAGGCGATTATTTGATGTCACCACAGGCCTATTTATTCACAGAGCTGTTTGCTATATTTCAGCGTAAACATTTTCACAGGAAAAGAAGCAGGCTTAGTCTGAAGTTCTCACTTGCTGTTGTACAGATGATCACTCTGGTCTTTACAGAATCTCCATGACGTCTTTACTTCTCAGCCATTTGTGCCTCTTGTGGAATAATCTTTCTAAAATACCACACTGGTCATCAGGTCACAACTTTGCTTTAAAAAACCCATCATTGTTTGTCTATTCAAGTCTGAATTTAGTTTTCAGCTTGCTCTGTGTTCTGAGTCCATCTTACTGTCTAGCCTTGAAGGCTCTGAATGTTTTCTTTTGTGCCCTTGGAACATTTTTTTAACCCTTTCCAGGAATTCTTCCTTTCTTCTTACAGAAATTCTCACTAATCTTTTAAGGCCTAATTAGAGCCTGTTACTTTCATGAACTTTTACTGGATCTATAATTTTCTCTCAATTTCTGGACTCTCAGAGTTCTTAATACACAGTTTAACACAGTCTGTGTCATGTGACTTCCAGGAGTACATTGGCCCTTTTCTCTCTGATAAATGTAAGGTCTTTGAGGAGAAGACTGATTTCTGCCTTGTAACATGTCTAAATTATATCAGATGGAGCTTCAGAATCCCTTCCTCCAAGGAGCAGCCTCATTTAACCCTCTCTGGGATGAACCTGTTTGTTCTTTTAGCAGTCCATGGTATATTCAATACTCTTCTCCAACACCACAGCTTAAAGGCATCAATCTTCTTCTGTCATTCCTGGTCATTGTCCAGCTTTCTGATATACAGTAAGTAATGGCAAAGACCATGGCCTGGATCAGGCGCACCTTAGTCTCCAGGCTGACATCGTTGCTCTTCAGTACTTTGAAGAGGTCTCTGACAGCAGACTTTCCCAGTGCAATTCGTCTTTTCATATCCTGACTGCTGGTGCCAAGAGTGTTGATTGTGGAGGCAGGCAAACTGAAGCTATTAACAATTTCAGTCTTTTCACCATCTGTCATGATGCTGCCAAAGTAGGCTCTTGAATTTAATTAATTAATGGTGATTAATTAGATTAATTGTTTTATGTAAACCATTAATTCTAAATAATGGTTTACATAATGGTGATACATACAAAACTTCGATGGCCGTGTGGGTATGGAGTTGCTCTGCCAACCCTATGGCAGGCTGTTTGAATCCACCAATTGCTGCCTAGGGGAAACAGGGAAAGTCATCTTCTGCGCAGTTTACTGCCTCTGAAAATCCTTGGGAGGGTCAGTTATGAGTCGATTTTAAATCAGTGGTACATAATAACAACAACATTGAAGGAAGGAGCCCTGATGGTTTGGTGGTTAAGCACTCAGCTAAAAAAAAGTTTGACCAAAAAAAAAAAAAGTTTGACCCAACCATCTGCTCTACAGGAGAAGGGTCTGGCCTGATACTCCCATAAACACTGCAGCCTTGGGAACCCTGGGCGCTGTCTTAATTGGAATAGAAATCCGTGGCAAGGAGTTTGGTGTGTGGTGTTTGGAAGTTTGCTTCTGTATACATAGTGTATGTTTTGAAATTATAGTTAAGACCAGATGAGTATGTTATGAGCAGTAGCTGAGCACTTTTGCCATTCCTTGGGATTAAACTAAAATTCTACTTTCAATGAAGGTTTTTTATGGATCTTCATTTGATGATGATTTTAAGTACATAGGAGATACTTACAGTAGAAACGGATGTGCTTGATGTAAACTGCCTAAGAATGTGCTGTTCCTGTCTTCTGCAGTGTATGCAATCCGAGAAGCTGCCACCAACAACCTCATGAAGCTGGTTCAGAAGTTTGGTATAGAGTGGGCCCAAAATACCATTGTCCCTAAAGTGTTAGTCATGGCTGATGACCCCAACTACTTACACAGAATGACCACTTTATTCTGCATCAATGTAAGTATCCCATGGGTGTTACTGCTCATTCTTGGTACTAAGGTATTTTATTCAAGACCAGATGTTTGAAATCAGAATCTCTTAAATTTGTAATGTATTTCTTTTTTAAAAAATATCTATTATATATTAAGAAATTGCAGTGTTTAAATTGATGTTAAAAATCTACTGAAATTTTTGTTGAGTTTAGTTTGATTCTGCAACTCTTTTCGTACTACATGTGCCCTTATTTAGGCGCCGACACTAACATTTCCCTGTTCGTTAAGGACTTTCTTATTAGATAATAATTTGTTTTATTATGTTTTGAATCTTTTTTTTAAATGAAAGTGTTTTGAGTAAGCTGTCTTATTTGTTTTAGGCACTGTCTGAAGCCTGTGGTCAAGAAATAACCACCAAGCAAATGCTGCCGATTGTATTAAAAATGGCAGGAGATCAAGTAGCAAATGTTCGCTTTAATGTGGCCAAATCTCTACAGAAAATTGGACCAATTCTAGATACTGAGTAAGATTTGGTTTTAAAAGTAGGTTTTTAATTTAACTTATGGGGAGGAGAAACAGTTACAACTAAGTACATTCATTGATTTTCCTTTTCCCTGATATCTGGATGTATTTAAAGAAAATAACAACATAATTTAACAGTAAGTTTTAGGGATATCCACTCTGACTTATATTTGAGCTCAGTGTATGTACAGATCATTGTCTGAAGATAATTCTGCTGACAATTTTAGAGATTATTTTCTATGTGTCAAGTTTATGCAGTTAGTGTTTTATTATTTTTAAGCTTTAAAAATTACCTTAGACCATGTAGCACCATAATTCATTTGTCCAGCCCAGGAGACTACCTTTCACAGATAATACTCTTGGATTTCAGTTCTTTACAGGGGGAAGTTAAGCCAGTACTGCAGAAGTTAGGCCAAGATGAAGACATGGATGTCAAATACTTTGCACAGGAAGCTATAAGTGGTGTGTATTTCTGTTTTATGCCTCACAGCTTATGCCTTGGTTTACAGGGTTTTCTTTTTCTCTTTTCTGAGTGATGTTAAATTGGCAGATTAACAAGCATTAAATGGGATCTTGGAAGGGTGGTGAGTTTCATGGAATATTGATGCTGCTTTTGGGTAGAGTATTCCTGGTCCGTCATTCTCTCATAAGTAATCAGGCCATGTTCTCTGTTCAAAGTGTTGAAATTTATAAAAGTCTGATTCTTGTAGGGCAGAGCTATTCTGTTTTAGTTTAGATTTTAAAAGTTTAACCTGTGCTAAGCCTGGTAGAATCAAGACACCAAACATAGTGTTGGCGCTGCTGTTCTTAACTGTCAACTCACTGTGCCACTGACCTGTCAACTCACTGTGCCACTGACCTGATTTTGTTTGGAATTTTTCAGTTCTTGCATTGGCATAATGAGGAAGAGGAGGGAAAAGACTTTGCTAAACTGTTATCACAGATTTCTAGTCAATGTGCTCCTAACCTGAGTGGAGAGAAGTGGAAAACCTTCAAGACCTCATCCAAGCAAATGGCAGCAACTTACAAGAAAACAAATTTCAGTGACTTAATTCTTTCTAAAGATGAAAGGGATTGTTTTATACTCGTCTTCTTTAGTGGAACAGCTATTTAAGACGTTCTTACTGTTTCTGACCAATCCCTGACATTCGGTGCAGTCCTCTTGATTGTCTCCTAATGACTGTCACTATCTGGGCTCCTCTGTCTCCACTGTTTACTCAGGCCCCAGCCACCTAATAGTCCTGAAAAAGCCTGCAGAGGTTTGCACCCAGACGTGGAGTGGAGTATCTTAATGTTTACATTTATCTGTGTGTCTCTCTTATCATTCCAACATGAACTATACATAGTTTAGAATAACTTATTTTGTAAACTCTCTATTTGGGAGATATTCTGAGATTTGACCATAGCGAAAGCGACATTTTCCTGGCTAATAGGGTCCACATCGGTGTCTCACAGGAAAGGGGAATTTAGAAGCTCAGGGTTAATGTATTGGCTGGTTTGGGTTTTATTTGCTCTATTCTGACTGTAATCATGTCATTCAGAAACTATGTCATTCAGAAGTGTGGACGCATCTTGTTGCTCAGCTGTGATGTTAACACCTAACAGAATTTCAGCAGATCAGCATTGTGGCTGCATTATAACACCTCCTGAGAAATCTTACATTCAGTGCCTCCTGATATGCAGTGGTTCTTTTGCTTCACTGTGGGATTTCAGCTTTTATCTCTAATGCAGAGAGGAACCCCTGGGATAGCTAGCTCTGTAGACCTCCTGTTTGCCTGGCTCCTTTGCCAGCAGTGGTGGCCTCTTGCCACTGCTGCTACATTATTCAGTAGCTTTCTAAACTGACATTTCTTTGCTAATTTTTTCTTTTCTTTTTTTTTTCTTATGGAGGTGATGCCAAAGTCTTATTATTTGTTTGTTTTCCTGCTTTTATAGCAAAACCTCATTCATTTTTCCTGGAACTTAAAATAATGGGCTAAGCTGAAGGGTTTGCTGAAGTGAACTAATAATTAATACTTAAGGAAGCCTATTTAGATGCTCTTTAAAACACATCCATTTACTAGTTGATAATACAATTGTGAATCATTCTTTTAAATTATATTTAAATACTTTCCATGAGGATCTGTATGAAATCTTTTTTTTTTAAAAAGATGCAGTTGATTTCCTCTATTCTTAAAATACATGCATTGGAGTTTCATGAAGAATTTAAATATTTTTTAAAAATTTACTTATATTAAAAAAAAATTTACTTATATTTTAACATCATCAAACTTACTTTGCTCCTCATGAATTTTCCTTAATGAGGTTTTACTATAGCTTGTTTTTCTCTCAGTACAGCTTACTATGTAGTTTGCCTATTTGATTTTTGAATTAACCATTTCTTTACAACCTCTTTTATTTGAGCAAACCCTTGTTTAATTTTATGAAGGCCCAAAGATGCCTATAAAACTTTGTACATTAAACCATTGTGTAAGATGAAGTTTGGCTAAATATTTATAAATTTCATAGGAAAACAGAACTTTTAAAATCAGACATTACCTGCCTGCATGTTAAACTGCCATATTTACCTTAGAATAAGATTAAATTTTACTGTTGGAGGTCAGAGATTAAATATTTTTCTAAGCAGAAATCTTTTCTACTTTTTTGTTTTAATATCTTAAAACTATTATGCTGTACACATTTTCATTTTTCACAATTCTTTATTTCTTACTACCTACATTTTATGTTCCTTTTCTTTGTCATGTTTGAGAGACCATTGTCTTGAGTTTGAAATTCTCACATTCACTGTATTACTTCTTGACTGGAAATGCCCTGGTGTGAGGATGGACTTTTAAGCTTCGGTGGGAAGCCCTGTGCATTGCCTCTGCCTCAGCACTGTGAGGGATTCTGGGGAGACCCTCGGCCGTTTCTCAGGTGACCCACTCAGGCACTACAGTGTGGTTTTTTTGGCTTAAGCAGTAGAGAATCCTTTCTGTTACTTACTCTTTGGATAAATTGTCCTTTAGCTTGTAGTCTGGTCGTTTTCTCCATTGGTTAGTTTTTATTTCAATAGGTTATTAGTTCTAGGAGCTCCTGAAAGGTGGGGATTTTATTTGTTTTCTACTATGTCACTAGTGCCCAGATCAGTATTGGTATACATAGTAAGTGTTCAATAAAAACAATGTTCTGTGAATTAATTTCTAACATCCATTTTTGTTGTTTTTCATTGAGTGAGTTATTGAAGGTTCCAAACTGCATCTCGTTCTGCTGACAAAGAAAGGAGGAGAGAGAGGGTTCCTAGGAAGGAACCACCTGCGGCCTTCACTCCTCCTCCCTGCAGGCGGCAGTCCTGGGTGATTTATGAATTTCTTTTGACTGGAAGAAATATTGCTGAGGTTTTCATCCGTTCATTTCCATCAATCATTTGCCCAGTTAGTAATGAAAAGTGAAGGCACATGTACAATCTAAAGCCAGTGTAAATGCCTCATCAGCAATCAGTGGAATTCACCTCTCGTTTTTTTGTTGCTGTAGTTTTATTTTTATAATTTGTTTGGGTCTATTCCTCATAGGCTTAAGAAACCAGATCTTGTTTCTTTACTTGTTGGCCAAGAAGATGATAAACTGAAGGTGTATCGAGTTTAATAAAAATACATAAGCTCATGTTTGGTGTCTAATGAGGCACTGTGAAAATAACAGTCAGCCTTCAGCTCGTGGAAAGACCTCAGTGTGGCCACTGCTGTGTGGGTCTGGGATGTCTTTGCTCCACGACTTGTCCAAGTCAGCAGAGATGGCACCTCAGCCTTGAGCGAGCCTCCAGGCATCCAAGATGCTCACGGAGACCTGCGGGAAAGCAAGCACCCTGTCAAGCTTCATCATTTCATTCTTGCTGCACGGTGTTCCCTTTATTAACTGTTTGTGTCGTCAGTAAATAGAAAGTCTGGTGTTTTCCTGTGGAAATCTAAGTGATTACATTTACCCCGGGGGTGGCAGGGCAGGCGGGTGAACTAGTTGAGTGCTTCTCCTACCACCTTTCTCATGCTTGCTTTCAATACACTTAAATCCCTCAGATGACTTCTTTTCCCCCTTCTGTAGAGTGGCAGGGATTTGCCACCTCGTTTCCTTGGTTTAAGAGATGACCTGGTTGTGATCTGGTGTCACTGTTCTCATTTGAGTGTCTTGTATTCATAATCCCATCCAGTTGCTCCTCTTTCCTGCTCACTCATGTTTTCCCAGCCTAGACTCTTCCTCTTCCCTCTTTGCTGCCAGCAGCCTCTGTTTACAGACTTAACACTCAGTGAAGATGAGAATCTCGAGGATGAAGGGAGTTCAATTACTCATCAGCTAGGAAAGCCATCCAGAGTTCCTAAATGGATGTTACCGATTATTGAAGGAAGAAGCTGAGTATTCCTTGTGATTGGATGGGCTCTTAGGCTGCCAGTGACCAAGATGTGGGGACATCCCCAGCTGGGTGACAGGTGGTCCGATGGACAGTCCTCTCCAGGGTTCCCCGGAGTGCCCGGCAAGGCCCCTAGGCATGCTATCCATGTATGCATGTGCGCTGCTGTGCTTCCCAGCTGAGGTGCAGGGAGGGCTGCGGGCTGAGAAGGGCTGTGCCCTGTGAGGGTCCCTTGCTGTCTTTATTGAGCAGTGGTGCAAAGGCTGAGGAAGCTGGATTTCCAAGAACCCAAGACTCAGGGCTTGGAGAGGACACTGGGAAGGTAAAGGACGAGGACAGCAGGGCTGCAGGGGCTACAACCAGATAGAGGGAAGCCCCAGCTTTCAAGGAGAGCCCAGTTTCAAGGACTAGGGAGTATATTTGTTCAGCCTCTTGTCCTGTTGGAATTCAGCATTCTGGGAACCCTTTGAGGGATGAGGCGGGCTGACTGGTGTTCTGTCACCTTGGTGGCTCAAGGTACAGTCCTGGGCTGTAGAGGATAATGGGGTGGTTTGGCAAAGAGAAATGGGCTGTTTTCCCATTTACCCTGCAGAAGATAGAACGTTAATGTTTGTCACACTATTCCTCTTGTTATAGTCATTTCCTTGGGTTTGTTCTGAGGGATCAATAAGCGTCAGTAGATGGACGTCCTGCATGGGGGAGGGCCGCAGAAAGGTTCAAGTTCAGCAGCCAGTCATTGCCAGCTACAGGGTGTTGATGGTGCGTGGTGTTGGGCAGGGTTGCTGAGTTGGGCTGGCACCTGGCTGGCTGCCCCAAGGGCTTTTCAGTGGGTGGGCTCTGGGAGCTGCTTTGGGGGTGTTTACATTGTGCTGCTGTTTTTGGATGAACCTGGAATTTTCACATTTACCCAGTTGAGTTTGGTGAAGATTGTAACAACATAAGTGCTTTTTACAAAATATCCAGAACTTTCCCTGCTATGTTTATGAGACCTCTGGCCTCCAGGCCCCACTCCCCCCCCCCCCCCCCAAGAGCTGCAGACATTCTTCTTAGGTTTTCTTCCCTGGGGGCACTGTGGGTTTTCTAGAGATCCCTTCAGGGCCTGAGGGAGATTCTGAAGTGACCACTCTTTGGAGCCAGCCACAGGGCCTCTTGTGTCCTTACACCTCCTTCCCAGAACTTTGCCTGAGGGAGAGACCCTGGTAAGAAAAGGAGGGATAACAGTTATATACCCCCTCCCCAAGCCTAAACCGCAGATTTCCTTGGGAAGGAGTTCTGTTTTCCTACAAATTCAGGGCCAAGTGGTGGTGTCACGAGGTGCAGGGTCTGTACCTGATCTAGAGCGCAACGCTCGAGAGGAGACCTCAGACCTGCTCAGGTTTGTACCGAGGACTTGCCTGCCCTTCCTAGGGGCTTCCATCACTGTCACTTGCTAAGCCCTTAGCCGTACTGTGCGGCCTCTCACAGATGCCTTGTCTGTTTCTGGTGGCAGGCAGTGTCTCCCCAGCCAGCACCTCCACTTGGGAGTCTTCCAAGAGTGGAGGCCACAGTTCACTTGGAAAGCCATTGTCCCCTAGGGGCTGCCTCTTGCACGTATTTCTCCAATGGAAAGGGAACATGTCAGCCAGAGCATTTTGATCCAGAAGTCATCCAAACCAGAAACTTCTTAACCCCTCACTGCCCCGGTGCCTAGGTAACCCCCCAGGATGGGGTGAGCACACGTCCTTTGTCAAGGCCCCCTCCCCAGGAAGCTGCTTGTCAGAGCAGCGGTTCCTTCTGGTTCTCAGCCACACAGCTGCCCCGGAGCACAGGCCTGGCTGTGTGGCCCCCCCTCCAACAGCCACAGATGGCTTCCTAATGACAGAGCTGTCAGGCAAGGGTTAACAGGGAAATTTGTTTATTGAATCATGAAGTAGCTGTCACATGATTTTAGTCAAAACACCATTCCCCTGACGACAGTGATGTCAGTCTTGAAGGAGCGGCCGTGAGGACACACAGTCTTGCCGATCTGGTCTGGAGACTAAATGTGAAAGCGCCTGTCAGTCGAGGTG